GAAATATCAGTAGGCATGAGAAGAAATATCCTTATAAAATTAGCATATTTTGCCTATAGGAAAAGTTAATGATAGAAAAGGAAAACCAATGCAGATCCATACACCACTGAATACACTAAAAGAAATTGGCTTTTGAGATTTCCCAGGGGCTAGGGAGAGGACTGTTATGATAGTCCCAAAGAGTGCTTCCTGGGATATCCTGTAAATCATTATTTCTTCTATATCATAGCCCATGTTAAAAGTGAGAGGTAGAAGGATTATTGTAAGTATGCATGGCAGAGAACTTACCAGCTATATCCAATAACTATTGCATTCAATATTAATAATCTCAATACATAAAAATGCTGATGAGTTTAGAACCCATTCTTACACGTTGTCCCCTTTAGCTCTCTTTATAATCTTGCTACTTTCAATCCGTTGCCTTTGGAAGGGTATAAGTGCAAAGGGTATGTCTGGGACACAATAGGGAGAGAAAGGGGGAAAAAATAAAATAAATAGAATAAAGGTCTAAAAAATTTCCCATTAAGATATAGTGACTCTAACTACTGACTAAGGGTAACCTGTGTTCTTTGACTGAATAAATTTGTACTTATAATAAAAGTACCATAACCTATTAAAATATACACACATTTCAAAGAAAGTTTAAGAATTCCAAATTCAATTAGATATCAAGCAAAGTTTGAAACTCAGGTTATTTCTTTCTCTCCAGTTGTGCTAAAAAGTAGGCCAAATAATTTTATTGTGTCACATTAATGATTAAGAAAAACTTAAAGTGTTGTTGTTGAATCAACTGCATTTTTAATTAATGCTTTAGTGCGTGGGAGGTGAAGATTAGCAACCTCTTGGATGGTGTTAAAGAATTCTTTAAAATCCCTTTGCATGAAGTATCCAGCAATAGAATTTCAGATATTGCACTGAGTATATTTCAATATTGCCAGTGTATATTTCAAAACAAATTCTATTATCTACACTAAGATTTCCTCTTTCCCAATATTCAAAATGCATATTATAATTACATGGGTTTCCAACATCCATACACAGCAAGTACACGATACTTACATGTACGTACACTGTAGTTACCTATATTTTGCATAGTTTTTAGTGTGTACTTTGTGCCACTTAATAAAAAGCATTACGCAGTAATTCTCGTTAGATGTTTCACTTATTTCAGCTGTGGTTGCCAGCTCTTTTTGTTTGTTTTATTTCGTATATTCATCACAGATTACCATTCGCAAAGGGGGATGATATTGGGCACTTTTAGTGGGCTCTACGTAATTAGCAATATGAAAGGGAAGTTGCAGTAAGATACGAGGTTTTGCATTTTCTCCACAATTAAAACATGTAACATGAAGTTCATTTTATCATTCATCAAATTATCCTTATGTCCAAAGGAAAAGAAAAAGTACTTTCAATGTTCCCCTTGGTAACACTTTGCAATAAGTGGCACTAAATTACACGATAACTGGTATGTCACAAGGAAGAATCATCACCGTCAAACAGCTGCTGTACATGTGCCTATATGGAATCTCAATGCTGTTACAATCATGAGTACATAATTACAAGTGAGCCTGTCCTTTTAATTTGAGATATTTATATTTTTACAAAGAAATGAAAATAAATGAGGTGTTAGCTTCTTTGCCATATTTAGGAAAGTTAGTTTTCTTTCTCTATTTTAATTGTGGGATTTCAATGCAATATTAATCATCTTGAATCAATATGAGATCATCCAGTTTCTAGATTAAACTCCAAAATCAGGTTCCTTAAACTGCTTCTTGGATTCTCTGGTAAAAGAAAACAAGTTGAAATTTCTCTCTCTCTATCTTTCTTTCTCTTTCTCTCTTACACACACACACACACACACACACACACACACTCACACATAAACATACACATATCAATACTCTGCGCATGTGCTCTATCTTTGCTCTTGTACTCACAAACGTTCCTTTTTCTTCCTAATTTTAATAATCATTCTATCTAGGACACTCAAGAATGGAAGAAAAAAAGAATGCTGTTTACACTTCTTTGATGGAGAATGATCAATTTACACTGTAAACAGTACACTGGCAGAGAATAGCTACTTTTGGTAAAGAATAATACTCCATATTCTACTAGGGGTGTGTGTGTGTTCACACTCCTTCAGTTGAGTTCTGTAGCTTCTGTGCTCAATAAGCAGAGACAGAATTTGGCTCTCTGTGCATACGCATGTGCACATTTCAGACATTGCAATTGACATGGTTCTATTTTGAAATGCTATTTTGGTTTTTTTTTTTCCTGATTTTGGCAGAAATGGGCAGAATTTTTACAACTTATGTCCTTGTTTAGTGGAAATAAAATACATTTTACAGATAGGAAAATATGATTCTATTGCTATATTTTTCAGTAACTAAAAATGATACCTAATTCAAATCGAACTATCTTAACTGGCAAAACATTTTATTAGAGCCCACAAATCATAATATATTAGTTTCTTTTAAAGAGTTCTAATGAGTTTTTATATTACTCTAATGGGTTAAAAGAGTCAAAAATTTTGAAATACAACCAATTTTTGATTTCTAATTTTACAGTGCTATAAATAATGATTGAGTTATTTAGGCAACAATTTAGCAGTTGGAGCCAAGTAGAATATAGACAAAATGAAGAGGGATGTAAATACAGCATCAATGAAGAGTAGCAATTTTGTAAGTGCATCCTGAAATTAAGCTTTAAATAGTCATTGATGATGCAGTTTATACAACTTACTTCTGTAATAAGAACCTTTCCATTTTGTACTAACAGGATGAATTTTGTTTTGTGGAGTCTTTCTAAAGATTATGCATTGAAAGATATGAACAGTTTATAAACCTATTCTAGTTTCAATGTGTCTAGTAGCACCTACCTGATTCTCTCAAACTACCATACTATATTAACATATTATTGCATTTTTCCACAGATGGTATGGAGTGAACTGTAAAAACAAGCATGCAATCACATCAATGCAGACTTATTTCCTTAAAATGTCATACTGTATATGATTTATTATGTTAACACTCAACCACATCATATTATTTATGTTCTGTATATTCTGAAAAAGTGCTGCTTGACTGACATCGTCCTTTTTGTTTTGTAAGAAATCAACAAGATAAATGCTTCAACAATAAAAAAAAAAACAATTTAAAAATTCTAACGTTGTCTTTAAAAGTTTATACTTTTCTGATAAATAAGATACAGCACCCTTGTCTTCCATTTGATATTAATACATGATGTCATACTCAACCATTCTCATTTCCCAAAAATAAATTCCAAGATATTATTTTTAAAACCATAGGCCATCATGCTTTCAGACATCACAAGTATAGCTACCGTATTGTCCTATTTGTTTTCTTCTTAAAGGTGCAATGCTTCTGAATGGGAAAATAATTTTTTATCTAACTGGATTTTTAATTTTTAGCATATAATAAATTTAATGAGAACTAATCTAGCAATATTGTATTTTACTAGAAGAAATAATATGACTTTAGATTGACTCTGTATCATATGTAAGAATACAGCATTTCTTAATGGTTAAATACACCAAAATTTCAGAAATAATCCAGAGAAAGAGACTTTCACCTTGGAGTTAAAAGCATGGCAGAAATTCTCCATCACTCACTGTTTCATAAGTTTGTACCTCACAAAATGCATAGACAGGAATTTAATAAAGAATTAGTTCATTTATACAGAAAACATACTTAAACACTTCTTTTTGGCAAACCAACATAGGTAAGCAGCTCTGGAACTGCCAAATTATTATTATTTTTTTTAATTTTTAGCAAACTAAGAGTTTACTTTTAGGTTATTATTCAACTGTGGTTGTAATTGAAAACCTGAGGCTGTGCACTGGTTGTTAGCTTAAAATTACCTTTCCTTATAACATTGTGCTTCCATTGTATAACAAATAAAAATTAACAAGAACTAGAAAAATTTGTTGTTGAACAGTGCTAGGACATACAGACAAAAATACTAATACATGTTATCTACTTATAATATTGGTTTAAGTAATATCTAAAGGGATATAATGGACATTAGAAAATGCTTACTTATGACTGAATTACCTACAGCCAAAAAAGTTAAATATGTATCAAATAATGTTTAATTGGATTTATTATATGCACTATATACAGATACTAAATGTTTCAAAATTGTGCCCTATGGATACTTCAGTTTTGTTTAGGCAGGTGAGTTCTTATGGAGCAAATAAATTACAGAATCAAATTAGAGAAATGAATGAAATCTTTGTGATTCCCAAAGCAGTAACATGTTTGTAAAAACTTACTGGTAAATGAAGCTAAAATAACCTAATGGTGGAATCTATATAATTATATATAAGATGTCATGGCATGATTGCAATTCATACACATGGCTCCTGTATCAAATACTATATTTTTTAATAGCAAATTGATACAGCTTTACTAGTATAATCTCAAACATTCCAGAATCTATTCTACAGTGTGTTTTCTAGGGCATACGTTTCCAAACATGTCTTTGAAGGTGGACATGTGGAAAACACCGTAAACCTCTAATCTCTGATTAAACTTAAACATGTTAGGTCTTTACCTAATCCTACTACTCGTGAAAGCTGTCCAGTGGCAAACTGACAAAATTTATGATTTAATGGGGGAAAAGATGAGGGGGAAAAAAAAACACTTTGCATACTTTTTTTCAATGTATAAAAACAACTCAATACCATGATCCAAGGAGATGATTAACATTGTTAAGGCTGTATATTCAAGCACTGTATGTTAAGAGAGCAATGGTGTGGAATTTAGGCAGTAAGAAATGTCCTGCATTATGGATGGTACAGTAATTAAAGAATGATGCTTTCGACAGCTGATTGTTGGTATACACTGGCCACTGATAGCAGTACAGTATGGAAGTTAATAAAGGTAGCAGAAGATGGTAGAAATGAATTCTGAAAGATGATAGCCAGTTTTCTCCAGCAGCCAGCCTGGTAAGGAAAACTCATAATCTTGGCCTGCATTTTAAATGAAATACTCTTTTTTCTCTTCAGCATTGACTTGGCTGCCTTCAGCATTGATAATGGCTGTGTCAGCATCTGGTGCATCTTCGGCTCCTTTAGCTTCGTTTGTTAAATATGTTCCTGTGGGTATTGAGAGAAAAATATATATATATTTGTTAGTTCTGTGAGACTGGTAAAATAGCCAGCGTTAGCAGTGCATTCGTTGAGGAAGGAACTTATGCCCGATTTCTTATAGGTGAGAACACATTCTGAGACATAAGAAACCATACATTTCACTCTTCTAACGTCGCACACTATCGGTTTTCAGGTATATGTTATAGATGAAGCAGTGGCCAGGTTAACTGGGCGCAACTGCCTAACTGGAATGGGTAATGAGTAGTTTGATTTCTTTAATGATGGATACAGACCATGTGATCCATGCAGCTGTAGCAATCAGGGCCCTTTGTGAAGATGTTGATAATGATCACATCAAACGTGTCATCTTTCATTTTGAAAACTCCACTTAAAAGTAGATTATGTCAATAGTTGGCTACCTAGCTCACTGCAAAAAAATCACACATTTTCCTCACTGATATGGCCATATGTGTGTCTATAAACCTACAGACAAAAACGTTGGCTGAACACTTAACATTATAGTTGAATGTCAATCCTAGAGATAAATACAAACTTGCTATTTTTTTCCCTGAGCCAGTGGCTCACTCTGTAACCTTTGGCCATTGGCTAAACATTATTTTGCTAAACCAATCCAACCTTCATTGAAATAATCAAGAATTCCCTGAAATAATTTCATATTTAGATCTCTCTGTCACGTATATGCATACACTCATTTAATATTTCACGATTAAGCTAGTCTTTAGAATATATTTTTGCCAAAGTTAAGAATACTTTGTTAAATATTACCTACCTTTATGTCTTGCCAGATATCGACCAAGCAGAAATATAGAGCACAGCGTAACAAATACAACTACAGCCACTATTCCTCCTATAAGAGCATGATCAGGGCCAGTCTGGCCAGCCAGAGCATTGGGATCTAGAAAAGAGAGTAAAATATCACACAACTGATGTGTTATTTAAGTATAGAGGGCATATCTGCATTACAATGAGTTATTCTGAAAATTAGCACATTTCTACTGAAGTAAAATTCCATTAATGTGTATTAAACCAACCATCCAGTCAACAAATATTCATTTGTACAACATACCTGGGAATGTAACATTTGCCATATCAGTTACTGTTGCCACTGAGTTTACATTTTAAGACTGGATAAACAAACACATGTATACAATGTTCCATGGTTTTATGCCTTTCATTCCTCTTCTCTTTCTGAAAACATGGGCGACTCTGTATATCCGTGTGTATGTGTGTATTTTTTTAGTGTGATGAACACCACTATATCATTTAAGAAATAAAATTATGTCATAGGAAAGGCTGGGACTGAGATGATAACCCAGGATTTATTATCATATAAATATTATTTAAAGCTATGGCAATTGATGAACTCCCCAAGGAAGTGAGTCTAAAAAGAGACAAGACGTGTGACAACTGAACTGAGGAACTCCCATATCTAAAGTCTAGGAAGAGAAAGTGCTTCCAGTAGAGCCAACTGAGCAGGAGAGAACAGTGAGTTAGGAAAATATCCTGCAGAGCACATTGTAGTTGATCAAAGGAAAGAACATATTTCAAGGAGAGGACGGTGTTACAATTTGTGTTTAATGTGATTGACAGAAGGAGGAAAATGAATACTCAATGTAGAGGATTAAGTGCCTATTTGACTTGTAGCTTTAGAGAAAGTAGCTAGAGAGGTACTGATTAATAATATACTTTCACATTTGGCCTTTAGTAAAATATTACAGGAAAGACACGAACCCAGCAAAGGATAGCCAGCTTTCAAGCAGAAATGAAACGAGGAAAAGAAAGCCCAGACAACTGGGAACTCCAAAGTTTGGAAAATCAACTCTTTATAGAAGCCACATAATAAGGGATTAAAACTGAAAGAAGCTTTGAGCAACAAAACCCACTAAGGCTGAACCCTACCACAAAGGTCGGATTCAGTGTGCTGCCTCCCCTCCCAAGCCCACATTGCAAGTATCCTCATGCTAATTATTTTTGGTCTAAAGGACAGAGAAAGCAAAGAAAAAAATTAGGGTTTACAATTATGTCTTCAAAAGATCTTAAACTGTGATTATAGACACATGAATATGACATTTTAGGAGTCTACTGTGTTTTTCATGAAACTATTGCATGAAAGTAGCATTGTCTACATAGACAAAAAAAAAAGTCTATTTAAAACTTCAAACAACCTCAGGATTCCCAAACTTGGTAGAGGCAAGGAGTGGACTATAAAAGCTATGTAGTCTCCCTGAAGAGCATACTTCAGATGTGCCCATGGAATATAACTTACAGATTGAATTCTCCCATAGGGCAGCATTGGGGGAAACAAAAAAGAATGTACAAAGGAGAATTCAGTTTCTTCAAGGAAGTACAACTACTGCCAAGGCAGAGGGATCTTTGATTGCCAGTCTGGGATGTTTTCATAATTGCTATAGATAAGTGACTACTCAGTGTTTCTCATTCTCTATTTCCAAATGAGAACATTTATATTAAGAAGCACTTCCTCTTGGCTGTGTGCTATCATTGTATTTTGTGTATGGGTAGAGAGGAGCATTAATAATTAATAATTTGTCCTTTGACAAATACATCCAGATATCATGAATAAGACTGTGAATATCTGAAGAGCTTAGTCTTCGAATTGGATACCTTGGCTTGATGGGATGTTAGGTTGTGTCTTTAGACAGGGTATGGAAGTGGTTTGTGTGAGGGAAAAGAAGTGAAAAAATATTTGGTAATCAGAAGGATATACTGGGGAAGAGATTTCTAGCTAATAACAAACATGTTTCCTTTTCTTTCAGTGCACATAGGAAAACATTTTCTGGCTTCACTTCAGTTGAATGTAATCATGTGATCTGTGTTCTGGACAATTGAATGAAGATCCAGCCAATAAAAACGTCCCATGTGTTAACTTCCAAGGTGATCTCAGGAGATACAAACTGAAACTGAGAGAAGCTACAAGAGTAAGTAAGGCTATAGATCACTCGGTCTTCACCTGGAAGAAAATTGCCCAGCTAAGAACATATGCCTTGAAAATTGTCCAACTAAGAATACATGTCCAAGGAGGAATAAAAAAGGTTTACTTTAAAAACACTGAGTATTAAAAAGTGAACCTGCCATTGCAGCTGTTGTCAATGTACCTTTCTATTATATATTACTTGTATTTCCCTTAATTTCTGCCATTAGCTGTAAATCTAAAAATTAAAAAAAACAGGAAGAAAAAGAAACAAAAAATAAGCCTGCCACACCTCTGAATTACCTATTCTTATTCCTTGCTTAGACACTTTAGAATGAGTTCCAAATCCCACTTCTTGCTCAAGTCCCCAAATACACATGGTTGTAAATCATTTCTCTCTCTCAGAACTGAGCACTCTTTTTGGGAACTGAGAAGTCACTCTTATTCATACATCTCTGTACCTGTCTCATTTCCTGAAGGTAATTCTGAAACATACTATTTCCAGACCAACTGGAATAAACAATATTATTTAAAGACTATTGATAAATATTGCCAAATTATATTGTAGAAAGATTATATAAATTCATCCTCCACCAACAGCATCTGAAGGATTTTCACCTCTATAATACTAACATCAAATATTATAATTAAAAAATTTGCCAATCTAATATTGATAAATGTTAAATATTTGGTATTTACAAGTTACCATAAATGTGTCTTACTACTTTTGTCCATATGAATTCATTAATTTTGAAATGGTTGTTAATGAAATTTGATTATTTTTTTCATTCAGATTTTCTGTTGCAACATCTCTTTCCATAGAAAGTTGGACATTTTTAACAATTTTTTGTTTATTCTTCATTTGTGGTCTTTTCAGTTGATAGATAAGTCTTATAATTTTATGTAATCAAGCCTATCAAACTTTTGTGTTATGATGTCTGACTTGTGGGTCATGATTTGAAATGCTTTTGCCATGATATACACATATAGATTTATGCAGTCATCTAACATTTTTATTGTCATATTTTAATCTACCTAAAATATATTTTGGTCTATGGTTTGAAGCTAAAGTATAAAAGAGAACTTTAATTCTTATTTGACAATAAGAATTTTAATGTCCCCCACACTACTTCTTTCATCATAGATGTTATCATCTACCATAAAGTAAATATATACATACATTACGGTTTGGAATAGTCTAATCTATTATATGTGAGGAATATATACACAATCCTACACCAAGAATGTAGGGTTTTTTTTTTTTTAATTGTAGACAATTATAATATAGATTCATTATCTCCAGTTCCTGTGTAAGTTCTTATTCTGACTAAAACTGAAGAATTAACTTTGTTCAATAAAACAGAATAGTCTTTAAATAATCTTGAGGTTATATTTTCAATTTTGTTTCTCAGAATAAAGGCATTCAAGAATTTTGAAAACCTACATTGTGTTCCTTTAGGTCAATGTGGAGGAATGAACAGGAATGAAAAAATGGTCTACAGCAAAATGGAATCTTTTCTTCTTCAGATTTGCTGGAGTTTTCAGGGGAATCCGAGTACTGGAAATGAAGAGAGTGATGACTAAGATAACCCAACTCCTCTCCCTGAGTGCCACTAGCCTGGGCTCTCTTACAGCCACCTCTTCTCCTTCCTCTCCCCAAGAGCAGTAAGTACCAGTCCACAGAGTCCCAGCTCCAAGGTGGGCTTTCCAGTTCACTTTCCAATCCCAGGGTACACTTTCTGAGGTTTGGAGACCACATTTGGAAAAGTCAGTTTTCAGTTTGCTGAAAATCTCAATTTATTGGGCAACTAGTACTATAGTTTTAAAAATCATTTTAATGCACTGGAGAAGTCTTAGATCAGGTGTAGAATAATTTTGCAAGAAACAAAAACATAACAGATTCTTTATTGGAATTATAATAATTTATAGATGTTCTTTTATGTTATGCATTTTCATAATCATAGTATGATTCTTCAGTTATTCAAACCTTTATTATCTTCTAGTAGGTTGCATAGTTTTCTGCTATTGGACTTGTATATTTATATGTTATTTCCCATTTTTAAACAATATTTTAATATTTTGAAACATTTCAACATTGTTTAAAAATATTTGTAAATGTTATCACTTTTTCATTACACTTTATGCTTTTTTTGTTTTATTTTCAGTTTTTTCTTTTGTACTTTATTTTCTAAAGGATTATGTAAAGTATTTTTCAAGATTATATTTATCATTTTTATTTCCTGACCATGAAACTTACTCAATTTTCCTACTAGTTTCTCTCATTCCTCTCCTACTGTCTTAGCAATAAAAAAAATGAAGTACAGCCTTCTGAAGTTTCCTTACAGATAGCTGAGTCTTCATCATTATTCAGATAAATACATCATATATCTTTAAGACCATTATTCATTCTCAAGTGTTAGTCTATGATTTGTTGGAGTTAGTCTATTAAAACTGGAGTGAGTAAATCCCAACAGATTTAGCAATATATTAGCAGTCTCTTTAGCTAATAATGCACAAAACACAAAGAACATCATAGAATTAAAATTTTCTGAACTGTTAACATCTTTCAATTAAGGTTATTGGACACTTAACAAAGCATTCCAAAGAGAAAATTATGTCAAATAATAATAATTCTTTTAGGAAAGTCAGAGGAATAATAACCAGATACTTTTTCTGAATAGCTCCTCAACTATTAAAATAATTGAAATTGACAAAAAAAATAATATATTACAAAAAATAATTTCTGATATTTAGAAAAGTAGAAAGTAACCTTAAAGTACAGGGTTTTTGTAAATTAACTTATTGATTTGTTTATTTTTAATTTTTTTAATGTTTATTTATTTTTGAGAGAGAGCAAGCATGCGCCAGAGCGAGCACACGCGTGCAAGTGGGGGAGGGGCAGAGAGACAGGGAGACACAGAATCCGAAATAGGCTCCAGGCTCTGAGCTGTCAGCACAGAGCCCAG